GGAAGCGAATTTCGCCGTGTACCCGAATCGCGAGATGGCGGCAGCAATGCAGCAACGCAGATTACTCGCCGCTGAAATAAAGATTCCTTACAAAGGCCCGGAAAAATCCTTCTCTGTCAATGTAGGACCGCAAGAACTTAGGAAAATTCACACTCTACTGTATTATTGAGTGCTCGCACTTTGTTACTTATTTCTTAGCGACGAGGTATGTGTGATCATAAAAGTCTTAAGATATATTGTGTACAAGAGACGTATCTTTTTCTAATTATTTTTTCATGGTAGTAATATTTTTTATTGTATACCGTACCTTGTCCCATAAAAGAAAAGCTAATTATACATGTTATTATAAAGAACTGTACATTAATTGGGCTTTTGTACGGAGAATTCGTGCTTATATTCTCTTGTATCGATATGAAACGGGTACAGAGAGCAAATTTAGTAATTTGTAATTTGCACTTGTGCAATGTTTATTTATTTCTGATGAGCTACAGCGCGATGACCGGTACATCGCGACTGGAAGGCTCTCTCCAGTGTTCGTTTACGTTTATAAACGCAATATTATATTTAGTATTAACAATTCAGAAGAGAAATCATGTGCCTCCGTGGCTTCTTTTTTCGTATTATACATATATATATATATGTCTTTATGAATTGTCAAATATATGGTCTAAAAATATTTACATAAGTGTGTTCTTTGTAAATATACACCCTAAATGGTGATGGTATCACAACAATAGAAAGTAGCGTGGTCGTGTAGAATATTCCCACGCCATTTACCTTGACCAAACATCATATACATTTTCACTGTTGCTATATATGTCATACGCAACAGTCAATCATATTACCAAGATTAACACACATTTTTTGATGAAACAAATATTTATAGAACAATATTCCAGTTTTGTTTTATTTGTAGAGATAAAAGGAGCAGTAAATCGTTGATGTATTCCTCAAATATTTATGAAATAAGGTATGCCTCTTAATTATACTGTCACAATTTTATTATACATACAGACATGTATATATGTGTATATGTATATACATATATACATATTGTGATATATCTTATATGTGTATATACATACACACATACACACAGCGGATAGTATTTAATTAAGTGCATATATCGTTAGTTATTTCATTAACTTATTCGCCCATTCATTCTCACAGCATGATGATGCGCACTTTTACACTTTCATTTATTCTCTTTAATAATAATTAAACCACGCATTCATAAATCGAGAGGATGGTTATTGATATCTTTTCATGTTTTTGAAGGAAAAAAGAAAAAAAAAGAAAAAAAAAAAAAAAAAAAAAAAAAAAAAAAAAAAACCGCCAGGCGCAGCGTGTGTAATCTGCCTTTTTAAATATAATAAGTTTTACAACTTCAATTGAATTCATCGCAGTTCGTACTTAAGGCTGACCGGACGACTGGTAGTACAACTTCCACGACGGGGACGTGTGATACATACTAATATTATTCGTTAAAGGTATATGATCGTAAACAGCTTGTTTGGAACTAATGTCCGCGTTCGCATAATATGGATGTGAGGAGTTTAACAGTTAGTTAATGCAACTAAAATTTTAAATGAGATAGATAGAAACTATAGAGTTCCCTAATAATCGTCGATATCGGTATTTTGACTGTTCGAGACGACGTTTCTCTCGGTGTGTATATGTATACGAAGAACGCTTGTTGGTCATGAAGTATAACGAAGTCCTTTAATGTGTGTATACAAAATATCAAACTTAATCTTGAAGCAACAGCACATGAAACAGCTACTGCACAGTCTCAGCTATTAAAACTATATTATATACGGAAGAATTGTTCAGCTAGAGAGCCTCAGTTACAGGAATACTTTTTCGAACGAGAGATAAAAGCCTTTATATATTATCTAGATAAAAGTGAACCTGTAACTATTTCCCACTATCCGCAAAGTTTCTTTTTCTCTTCAGCGATAATTTTATGCTTCAGTAATTCATGATAAACATATTCACAGACAGAAAGAGAGTGAATCGAGGGACATTTCTATGATAGAATCGTTAGTCGTTTGTTCGTTTCTCGATGGAGTAAGATTCGTTACTCGATATAGTACTCGGTACATACTTAAAAGTTAGATTGTTGTCTTAACATTAAGGTATCTTTATCATTATCTGTTAATATTATATAGGGGAGAGGAGAGGGAGACATCATTGTATGTTTATTCATATAAAAAAAAGTTTTCCAGTCAAATGTATCAAAGATACTCCCCAACTTTGATACTATTAACACACCATCTTTGATAAGAAAAATATTAACACTTTCTCAACATTCTACGTACGCTAGTATGCTCGCGTTATATAGTGAAGACAAAACGAAATTTAGGAAGCAACAATGTAGTACAACTCATATTCTATGGAGGCGGGAGGGAGGGAAAAAAAAAAAAAAAAAAAAAAAAAAAAAAAAAAAGAAAAAAGTGAAAGAAGTAAAAAGAATAAAACGTCGAGATATATATTCTATCTTTTTCACGAGACACGCTCCACAGATTCCGAAAATCGTCTGGATGTGTTCTCTCTTTCTCTCCATGAAAATTACGATAACGATTTTGTGATTTACATCACCCACTATATCTCTGATAGTATGATATCACGTGCACTCTTTTAGAAAGATCTTCTTTTTCGGGGCATCTCAAAATCTTTATTTTTAATGATTACCAACGGTAAATTAAATACGTAATAACAAAATAAGAACAAGCCACTCTCTGGCTGACTGGTTTCTCACTCGCATTTCCAAATCCAAAGAGTTCAATCAACCGAAACTCTAAGATGTCAATGTTACGCAAGAAACATTTCGTGTGTAGTCTAAGTAATTACCATGTCGTCGCGTACACGCGCAAATGCTGCATTTGTGATCACGTAATTGCGTTCTCTCATTGCGAAATTAGAGTGTTGACTGATATGACTCTCTGAATGAGAATTTTTGTAAGAAGTTCGGTACCTCGTTTGAAACACTTTAGTGATCGCGATCAAGACTGTTGCTACACTGAGGCTATTTATAGTCTTAGCGCGCTCCTGAAACAAATAGAAGCGAAAAATTGTTGAAATTACGAAAAATAATCATAATACTATTGAATTTTATCAATAATACAATGCTCATATAGATACTGCAAATTTAACTCTTTCTTTCTATTGATGTCATTTCGCTAATTTCTAACATTATATGGCAGTGAGATGCAAACATTAAGCATCTTTTAGGCAGTTATTAAGATTAATATTAGCATTAGAGGCACACAAAATTAGGAACAATACCGATATTGATCTAAAATATAATACATGACATTCAAGTCTAATTCTATCAATCAAGTGAAGTTAAAGATATTCACAGAAAGATAACACATTAAGCTTTTAAATTCGAATCATGGAACTAAGTGACGCTTAATATAATAGGTTTGAATACATCATATTTCAAACCATTGAATATTCTTAAGGAAAAAAAAAATTAATTCAGGATTAATCTATAATTAATAAAACAATATATAACCATTGTATTAACACTCTATTAAAATAACATATAGAAACGTTAAATAAATTATGTATAAAATAACGTGTGTATGTGAAGAGTATTATATCTATCAATATACAAATACCCCAAAATAAATTCTCAATAAATATTGATTAAAAATTTTTGGTATAACAGACAAGATTTGGTATAAATTTATATATCCAGCATCATGGAGTGTGGAATTAATTGTTAATCATATGTTAATTAGCATATAAGCATACTTATGTATCCATTAGTCTCAACTATTATCATTAGTAAGTAGTAAAGAAAATCTTTTCTCCACAAAATTTTGTGACGCGTTCTTTCATCAGGAAAGAAGGAAAAAGAATTTAAGGAGCCCCTGGATTATTGCTTCTTGGAAGACTGATTTGTCCCAATCGAGACGTTGTTGATTTTTGTGGAGGGCTCCAACCATCTTTTAAGCTTGAAATTTGCTGTTAAAAACGATAATTTACATAACTAAAAGAGACAAATTTTGCGTTAAATAGATAATGTTAAAAAAAAAAAAAAGAGTATTAATTTGTGAAGTTTTAACAATTCAATTAATCCCATGATTGTTATGTTTAAAATGAGATACGCATAAATTTCTAGTATAAGCTACAAACTACTGTATACAAACATGCTACAAAACATTGATTTCAAAATGATTTGAAATTTTTAACCTGATTGAGCGTTGGCCTGAGTAGGTGCTTGACCTTGGCCTTGTCCTTGCCCTTGAGCACCTTGAGCACCTTGAGAGAGACCTGGTCCGGCTGCTGATACTCCGCTACCAACAGTACCACTTGCTACTTTTTGCTTTAACATTGTCCAATCGAATGTAAAATCATATTGATGATTCAATGTACGGAAAAGTATGCGGAAAAGTTGGCGTAGATACATATAATCGGGGCTTTCTTCGAAACGTAAGCCCCGCGTATAATTCAAATACATTGCAAATTCGGCGGGAAATCCCTGAGAAACGTATAATCTTCGTTGTAATAAATATACATGTAATAGAAACATGAAAAAACTATGAATAGATTCTTTGGTATACCTTGCACAAGACTTCTACTGGCGTAGACATCTTTTTCTCACTTATTTTTTCATACTTTTGCTTCTTTGTTGCAGCTTTGAGACCTTGCCAAGGTAATGATCCGCGATTAAAATACATAAGAACATAGCCGAGTGATTCCATGTCATCGCGACGACTCTGTTCAATTCCAAGATGTGCGTTGATAGATGCGTACCTTGCAGTACCTGTTAAATTTTTATCTTCGCGATATATTATATGCAGTCTTGTACGACTATCTCTATACTTTTTAGCCAATCCGAAATCGATGAGGAACAGCTGAAACAATCATTTCATAATTTAGAGGATTATACGGGAAATTTAATTCTCGATATATTACAAAGGAATAATCTCAGATCAAGATGTATACCTTGTTACAATGTCGCCCAATTCCCATTAAAAAATTATCTGGCTTTATATCTCTGTGGATAAAGTGTTTGCAATGAACATATTCAATCCTACCAATCATCTGGTCTGCCAACATTAGAACTGTTTTAATTGTAAACCTTCTTGAACAAAAAGTGAAAAGATCTTCCAGAGATGGTCCAAGAAGATCCATGACAAGAACGTTATATTCACGTTCTTGGCCATACCTGAGGCAAGAAAGATTCTTGTCAGTTGTCTGATTCGCATAAATTTTGAATAATAATGTAACAGTGGTTTATCAAGTGTTTTTTTATTATTACACGACATTATAAAAATCATTTGGATAAAACATTTTAAATGTAAAAGAAGAATATATTAAATGTGATAATTACCAACGTATATGCGGTATTCCTATGCCACCGTGTAATATTTTGTAGAGCTTTGATTCATATAAAAGCTGCGGATGCCGGGCTCGCATATTTTCCAACTTAACTGCAACTTCCTGAAATAAAAATATACAGGTCATGTTATCAAACTGTGTTTCAAAGCTTTATCTAGCGCAAAGATTACAAATCAAATGCAAATGAAATTCATACAATGATGTAATGAAATTATGATTTCTTTCTTCTTATTATTATGAATTTCTTTTGCCTTTAGAATAGAATATTTGCTTGTGTATTACAGAAATAATTATAAACAGATTGAAGATAATGAAAAAATAAAACAATAGATACTCTAAGTGTAATAATTGTGAAATAGTACACTAAGTTAATTTAAAATCTCGAATTTAACCCTATTCTTATTAAAATTTTTTCATTTAAATTCTATTTCCTCTTTATTGTCATTTGTTTACTATCCTAAAAAACATGGAGTTATCGCGGTATTGTTTTTCTTACATTGTATAATAAATATATATATGAATTGTGTAATAGCGAATGTTTAAAATAAAATACATTAGAGCATATAAACAATAATGATCAACTTCATTCAAAAAAGGGAAAGCAATTTGCAAAACAAATAAAAATGAGTCAATTTTATCATTGATTACTGTACTCGTGCTTAATTTAATTTTCTTTATCTGTAATTGGGGAACTATAACTTAGTAAGACATAACACGCAGAATTAGTTATAACTCAGATCGAGTTCACTGAATCTAATCCAAGCGAGAGGCGTAAAAAATCCACAATCGTGGGCCGTTTGTGCAAACGATTGCAAAATTACGCGCACTCGAATCCCAATAATTATCATTATTATGACAAGCGTCAGCTTATATTTATCTCGACGGCGTCGCGACGTACATACGTCATTCGCGATACGCATGACAATCCAAATTTTCGCAGAATTATCGTCAACATATTTATTCACGACACGCACGCACGACTTCTGACGCGTGCGTTCCCAAATTACGGGACACGATTTTGACAAGAAGGACCTCATCGTCCGAGAAATCCTTCCGCCGCGACACCACGGTCGACAGGTCTCTACGGGGTTGCCTCGTCTCATCGAGACGAGCCGATGATCCTGAGATGGGCCTCCGACGAAACGAAACGAGACGAGACGGGACGAGACGGGACGGGACGGGACGGGACGGGACGGGACGAGACGAGACGAGACGAGACGACGAACAGGCGAACGGGAATAGAGGGAGCCGAGCTGGCAATCCAGCAGTAGGTCGGTGCAAGGTTCTTTAGAAACGTTCCGTTTCCTTACCTCGCCATTGGAGATGTTGATGCCGAGGTAAATGTCTCCGAAGGAGCCTGAGCCGATCTTCCTCATCAATCTGTACTTGCCACCCACGATGAACTCATTCTTTGCTATTGATACCGCCAACGACGCCATGTCACTACTCTCCTCCGTATGCCTTCTCTCTCTCCTCCACTCTGTCCGGCTCTTCCCTTGCGCGGGGACCTCTACACGGCGATGTAGTCTTGCACCTGCTCCACGTCTCCCTCTCTTTCTCTCTCTTTCTCTCTCCCTTCGTCACGCAATCTCTCTTGTTCTCGCGCTCTCTCTCTTTCTCACGAGTCAAATCGAGGTACGAACCGACCGGAGCGTATCAGGACGCTTTGCAGGCCAAATTTTGACAGTTAAGGTCGCCGAGAGAACGCGATCGTTGTTACGTGTTACACGGGAATAGTCACTGACGGCACGGCAAGCCCCATCGACAGCGCGCCGACATTTTCCCTTTCGCTGTAGGCACGAGAGCAGCGACTGACGTCCCGGAAGTGATACGTCACGATAGAGAAGAGGGGGGGAGGGGGAGGGGAGGGAGAGGGTCACTACCGCTCAATGGAGCCACCCGAGTGCGATCAGCTGACGATCGTGCTTGACATTTCGTGCGCGCGATAATCGGCGTATTTTTCAGCCTGCGACCGCGTCACACGGCAGGCAGCCTCCTTTTTTCGCAACTCTGGACCCGATCCTCGTCAAGTCGCTCACTTGAGGCCCGAGGTGTGAAGAGTGATTTGAAGCGCCAGCAGCGACATCTGTCAATTTGTCTGTCAAGTTTATTTTCAAGATGACTACGGTGGAGCGTCGACACATTTTTCTCCGGCCGAACTAGAGGTATTGTTCGTATTCATTCTTGTTCAACGTTACAGAATCGACATCAATGGCAAGTGTTTTGCTACGAAACGTGACTCGTGTAAGATTAGGCAAACATTTGAGGAATACCCGGATAACGGTGAGGACGAGCGACGAGAGGTACATCATGACGAGCCGGGCGAGACTCGACAAGGTCTTGGAGGAACTGCAAAAGAATCCCTATTACGATAAATATGCTGGGAAAATTGCCAAGCTGCAACAAACTAGTCCGGAAGAGTTTCTACAACGCGTCGAGCAACAGGAAAATGCTCGCGATAAGAAAGGTATATAAACTTTGTAAGATTGCAATTGCGCTGGCAATATTGTTTTTTGATTATTTCAAATTCTCTATTTCGTTTTTTCTTCTCTGACAATTATAAAGTAGACCTTTGTGTCAATGTGTTTTTATCTAGATATCTATAGTAAAATCTTTTTACAAAAAATATTACAGTTGTAATAAATTATCAGTGATAGGAATATTAATTCTAAGAATTCTGTGGCATTATTTTATTATGATAAATGATGCTTGAACGTTATAGTTAAAAAGAAACAAGCTGCAAAGTTGTATCAAACTGAGGCAAAACCAATTTTGGAGCCCGATACGCAGGCACAAGAGGCGCGATTAAGTAATATAATGAAGGTTGACATGATAAAAGATAAGACAAAGGAAGAGATTATAGAAATATGGAAAGAGTATCATAAGCAAAAGGATTGTATTTGCGGAACTATGACACCCGAGCAATACGATACGATGTTTGCGCGTGGCAAGCAATATTCTACCTTTCTATTACCATTACCGAAAGAACGCGGCTATGAATTTGTTATGTGTCAATTCTATGGTTCGGAAGTACACATGACGCCACTTTTGTGGTATCAGGCGCATAAAGAGAACGCACCCGAGTGTTTAACCATGATACATTATACTGAATTGAGAGACGATAAGGGCATTATACTCATGCGGGGAGAATTTGATACAAAATTACTACAAGTACACGAAGCCCAATGTCTAGCTAACGAACTGCAATTATATTATTGTAACGATAACAAACACAGGTTACAGTTGCTTGAAACATTTACCCATAAACCTAATGAATTTAAACATATGGATCTCATAGCTCAATTAGAAACAATATCTCTAGAGGTACCTAATGTTGAGAAGAAGAAATGAAAAAATATTGTAAAAAATTTCTATATTGCTCCTTGTTATTTAATGTAGTATAACTATATGTACGAAAGAAATAAATATTTTTAAAATTAACAGCTTCTGTATTTTATTTTCCATATAATAATTTTATTTTAACTGTATTTATTATATGATAAAAAATAACTTTTGTTTCATATAAAACTCGATATCACTTTCTTTTTGTATCTGGAAATTTCTTGACAAGTTTCATTCAATTATCAATAATAGTAATTGTTAATTTAAATTTCAGTTAAATATGCCATAATACCGAATTATCAGTTTTCAAAATTGGCAATATTTCCATTCCTGTTAAAAAACGTACGATCATCATGGAGTCAAACAATAAAGAGGCAATATGTAAAAGATTTGTCTCGAAATAAATACATTACTACACCCATTTTTTATGTGAATGCTGGTATGCAATATTGTCCAAACTAAAAATTCTTATCAAATTACAATTTAAACATAATAGGAAAGTATTATATAAGTGTTTGCATATTTTATATATTAGGTCCTCATATCGGACACTTGTACAGTGCTGTTTTGGCTGATGCAATTACTCGATACAACACCATGTTGGGCCACAAAACATTCTTGACCACAGGCACTGATGAGCATGGTAACAAAATTAAAGCTGCTGCAGCTGCAGCGGGTCTGCCAAACCTCGAGTACTGTAATAATATTTCGCAGCAATTCAGGGAAATGTGCGATAGGTTTGAAGTGGATTATTCGCGTTTTATTAGAACTACAGAAAAGCAACATTATGATGCAGTGCATCACTTTTGGGTTCTTAGAACAAATTTAGACATCTATCTCGTATAACGCTTTTGTGATATCTTGACTCACATTGGAAAATTGTACCTTTTCCAGAAACGGCTGGAGGAAAGAGGGCATATCTATCTAGGAAAGTATTCGGGGTGGTACTGTGTATCAGATGAAGCGTTCCTGTCTGATACAGAGTTGGTGGAGCAGAGAGATCTTACTGGTAAAATAATCAAAGTCTCCGCGCAGTCAGGAAATACGGTAGAATGGACGGAAGAGGAGAATTACAAGTTTCGTCTTAGCGCATTTCAAGATGATCTCAGGCATTGGCTCAAAGATGGTATAAATAATGTCGTTTCTCATTTAATTTAATCCCTTCTTGTACTTACAAATTGTGAATTTTGGATCTTTTATAGAAAACGTAATTAGACCAGCATTGTATCATAAAATATTGTCGGAGTGGATAGAAGAAGGTACATGTTTACAAGATTTAAGCATCACTAGAATCAGGAATAAAGTGCCATGGGCCATGCCTTCTCCATGCGATGAGTCTCATTCAATATACGTGTGGATGGACGCTTTAATAAATTATTTAACAGCCTTAGGATATCCAGATGAATCATTCAAAGAATTTTGGCCACCTACTATTCAAGTATGATTATAAGTTTTAGCCAATATTGATTATTAGCGGGTACAAAGTGAGATATGTTGAAAAAAAATATTGATGCAGGTAATAGGAAAAGATATTTTAAAGTTCCATGGTGTTTATTGGCCAGCATTCTTGATAGCAGCGGGTCTTGAGCCTCCAAAAACGTTGCTGTGTCATGCTCATTGGACCGTTGATCATCAGAAAATGTCGAAATCAAAAGGAAACGTGATCTCACCGTTTGAGGCTGCAACTAATTATTCAGAAGATGGATTACGATACTTCATTCTCAGAGAAGCTGTGCCGCAGAATGACGCAAGTAAGATGATTCTTGTACATTTAGATATTATATATCACTTTGTACCATATATATTTTTTAAATCTCTATGCATACACAAGAAAATTTTTTTTGTGCTGTAGATTACAGTTCAAAAAAGATTGTCAATGTATTAAATTCCGAACTGGCGGATACATTAGGCAATTTAGTCAATCGTTGTGCGGGTAAAACGATCAATCCGTCTAAAGAGTTCCCCGATCCGGCAAAATACTGGAACGTATTGCAGTCTCAGGTGGCCGACGAAACCAGAAAAGCTTTAGAATCCGTAGGGAGGAGAGCACGCGAAAGTTACGAAGAATACAATTTGCATCATGTCGTAGACGCGGTTATGAGTATGCTTCATTGTGCGAATAAAATGGTAGACTATCACGAACCTTGGAAGCTGAGAAAGCAGGTCGACGATGCAGATTCGATTAGGGAACTCAAAGCTGTAATATCATTTGCTCTGGAAAGTAGCAGAATAGCTGCTTTAATATTATATCCAATTACACCAAGATTGAGCAGTAACTTGCTCGATTTTCTGGATATCCCGAGAGAGAATCGCACGTGGACGGATACCGTGCCTAAATTCTTCAACAACAGTGGCGTGAAAGAAAGATATATTGAGTGTAACAATGTAATATTGTTTAAGAAAATAAGGAGTCAATAAATATCTATTATTTGTTCGGAATTTCGATCGATAAGGAAATGTGTGGTAGTTTTCTATATTCTTTGTGTAAAAATCTCAGAGTGTGTGATGTGATAAAATTGCATAGTGAAAGTTATATACCTCAATTATATGTTGTGTATGAATTACAATGAGAAGATATTTTGTAGAAGTACTATTCGTTAATTTAGAATTTTATATTCACAGCTTAAAAATTTTCTGCTATTGTAGATATAATAAGCATATATAAGTGTTTGTTTTTCGTATCGGTTTGTGTTTCCTACGCTTTGATGGGATACAGGAATTAGTAAGAAATCGCAAATCAGATACTCTTGTCGAAGTCTTATAATCTAATATATTTACAGAGAACGGTCATTCGAATATATCAGTAATATACATCAACAAATCAACATTGCGCCGAGCCGATTGGAGAGTTTTAAACATCGTTCCTTCAACCGTTCTTATACAATCCACAACAACGTATACATTTGTGCACTCATTTTCTTTCGTTATCCCCCCTACCTCCTCTCGCGCCGAATCGCAATGCGCTTTGTATCGTAGATATAGATGTACCAAGGAAGCTCGACGGATCCTCGCGAACGCAAATTGGTTCGTGACTACTTCCTTCCGCTCGGATATGTGATGCAAAATTGAGTTTTAGATTCGACGGGTGCTCGACGATTTTCGATTTCGCGTATATATCTGATAAGCGCGTCCATAATTCTGAGATGTTGCGTTTCCGCGAGCATCTTTCTCTCTTTCTCTTTGTGTTTCTCTCTTCGCGCCCCGTCAAATAGAAAAATAATTAAATGGCTATTTACAAGATGGAAAATGATTTCTGTAGTTCACACGGCATGCCGTTTGCGTTGACCTATTGCTATAAAGTTTTTTTTTTCTCTTCATGATGTTTCGACAGACGTTACTGTTCAGAAACGTATCGGTAACATCCAGCTTTTAATATCGTAAATTGGCTATCGACATTGCTCCATTAAAGAGTTACGATTGCTTGATGAGATTAGTATCCTAAGCGCTACACTTGGATTCTTCTATTAATCGACAAATCCCACTCTATGCCTTATAGTCGTACCGCTTAAAAAAGGATAAATAAATAAAAGATATAAGAAAAAAAGAACTACGATTTCGGTGGATCAGGTCTTCTAGATATGCTTCGAAGTAGGTTTCGGTGATTGTCTTAATTACGATGGTTGATTATGACTTTACGAATTGTCACGCTTACGCCTGCGAACATCACATCGCACAGCCTCTTTTGTGATAAAAAGATGCTTCTCGATCGTTTGAAGAAATTTTCGTGTCACTCGTAATTTTTATCGCTTCAAGTCGCGAGGATGATGACGATGGCGAAGTCTAAGATACGAAGTATTCTTTTTATGATATTAAGTATCTCGATATTATATTGCTCCTGCGTTTACGATATCGTTCCTCTAAAATCCGACGTCGAAGAGACACGAACAACGGTCTTCTAAATGTATTCTCGGGCCAAGTGCCAATGATAGCTAACTAGAACATTGATTGATATTACGTGAGAAGAGATTCAATAAATAATCGGTCGAGTATTATCCCAGCGGCCTCGGTTACATTTATATTACATAAGCGACTGTATAGCGAGAGACGGTGTCAACGTCGCAATTGCAGTTGCAAATCCTTCCTCGAGCAGATAGACAATTTGGCGTTTAATATCTTGCGGACGCAAATATTAAACTTTAGTATATGAGAATGAAATCCGCTTGTTCTTTGATACGAGCAACATCGTATGCAGATTTTATGTACATCGATGCAAGTTCACATACGCGAAACGAGATAATTTATCGTCCCGTTGGGAGTCGCGCAATCGCGTCACGCGCACAATGATTTTTCTCTCCGCATGTGGGGGATTCGAAACAAATTAAAATAAACAAATAAATTCGGAAAACAGAGATAAAATCGGGAATTTGTTAAATTTTACATGTCTCATAATTGATATCTCTCCTATGCGATTATAGAGGATCGATACGATGAAAAAATATCTTGGACGTAGCATATGCAAATTCGCACGTCGTATTATTTTCCATCAGACGATGTCGATGTTTCTAGAGATATCCTAGTATCGCGGATTCCTCGACAAGATCGGTTGACACGAGTGAGAAAGGATGAAACGACCGCGACGACTCCGGAGGCAAGCGGCGAGTGAGATCCGGGAAAGAGATCGTTTAAGATGATGGAGAGTTGTTGAGACGCATTTATATAGCGCTGACGATAGTGTCGCGATGTCGTTGAGCCATGACGCCGACCTGACAGCTGTCCGCGCTCGATCTCGGACTGATGTTGCATTCGATCATGGATCCGTTGCGTTTCTGGACCACCACCGAACGAAATTCGCCACACTCGCTGGTCGACGGCTGGTTGCCCCGCGCGCGCGCTCCCTTCGTGAGGATCCTCTTGAATGCCTCCCGGAACTCAGTGTTGAAGATGCTGTAGATTATCGGGTTGAAGGCCGAGTTACTGTAGCCGAGCCATGTGAGAACCTGCTCGGGAAGAAGAAACGACTTTCACGCGCGCCACAGGAAAATCCTCTCTCTCTCAGAAATTTCTTCTATGAGATGAGAATCTACCCAGCAAACACAGATACATAACTGTAACATTGCCATAATAAAACGGAATGTAACAAGTAATATAATGTTAAATAATAATTTTCAGGCGAGAGATATGACAGTGTAAAAAATAAAAATGTCCCTCTTTTAATCGATTTCTCTTTAAGAAAAAGATCGGTCTCGGACCGATAAGTGTAATTGTAGTCGAGATAAGACGACAGCGATTCTTCTGATGTACTCTAAGAAGAATAAGAAAGCGCGTTCACAGAAGAGAATTACGATTATTATCGCGCGCACCTGAAACGCTCGGAGAGATATGCAGGTCTTGCAGTAGGCTGCGACAATGTTGACGCAGAAGAAGGGCACCCAGCATATCAGGAATACGCCCATGATTACGCCGACGGTGATCGCGGCCTTGTGGTCGGACACGTGATAAGGGCTGGTCGGCTTCGTCTTCGCTTGCGGCTTCGGTGGTTTGCAGCGACTGCTCTTCGAGCGAAAACTCTTGGCCATCGAGGTGTCCGGCAGCTTCGTCACCGCTCGGATGCTCTTCACGTGTTTCTGCGCGTAGCAATAGAGCCTAAAAAGAGGAACGCACCGTGTATTGTGAAATAAAGATAAGTTATGAAAAATATTAAATAAAAAAAAATTACATTTTCATATTAAAGAAACTAAATAATGAGAAGAGTGATATCAAATGGCTCTTGAAAATTTAGTTTTATTAGCATCACATGTTGGTTTTATTAGCGACTCGTCATTCTGCTAAACAAATTTGAAGACGCACACAAGGAGCTTATTGCGTATACATCATTTATCTCATATAAACTATGAATTTTTGAAGAAATCTCTTGTCCGAGACTAAGTGCATTGTTTCGGTTTTCAAGCTCACTCGGAGTGGTTCGAACTATCGCGGCTAGTCATGCTTCATAGAATTACGCGCGAGCCGTATCACTCATAAAGATTATAGCGATGATTATGAGTGTGGAAGTAAAAAATTAAATTAATGATTTCCGAGCGGCGATGGGTGCGAGCATTCTTACCTGCAATAAATACCCAGCATCACGATGCAGGGTACGTAGAAAGATATGCAAGAAGACACCACCGCATAAGTGGGTGTAATGTCTAGGGCACACGTAGGGTGCTCCTGTAAGGGTAAAAGACGAGTAAAATTAACGGACGCGAGGATTGCGCAAACTACTTCGGACGTGACGGGGTAAAATGAGAAATGTCATTTATTTTTAATCCCTTAGCTATTCAAAAGCATAAACTGCGACGATTCACACACACACACACACGTCTTCTTTACAAAGTTCGACGCGAATTCAATTTCGCGCAGTCGATATACATATATCTGGTAAACGGTTGATATTTATATATGCAATTTTTTTTTAAATATTACTTCAAATATATCGAAGTAGACGAAATGCATATTTAATAAATTTTTAGCGGAAAGGATTACCAGAAAAATTGAAAGGAGGAGAAAGATCACTTTATCAAATTTTACGTATTAATATTAATGAACTCTGACTAAATTCTATAGATATTGTTATACCTCCACTGCATCGTTATAACTCTTTGGTGTATCTTCATTTCTGTGAAGATCTAGACTGATCGGTACGAAGGATATGAGTCCTGCTAGAAGCCACACAACAACGATACCGCCAATGGCAACTCTTCTGGTTACCCAACGGCCGTACCTAAAATAACAACGCAATCCTTTAACTTAATTCTCTACAATATTCTCAACTTAGTGAAAAACGTTACTTTATCAGAATTACATTTTTTCGAGTGTGATTATGATATCTTTTAAGCAGCAAAATACAATATATAATTCTTATTTTTTTTATTTCACAAGTCTTAAAATTTAACGGGAAAGGTTTGTGTGTATATTTCATTTCTTTTTCAATCGCAGCCAAAAATGGTTATAATTTTTTCTTTTTAATTTACGATCGCTCGCTTTTTCCTTCCGAAAAGCTACGACTATACTAATCGCGTCTGGCCTCACCTGAGAGGATCCTTGATGTGTATGTAACGGTCGAGCGATATGGCGCATAGATTTAAGATAGAGGCAGTGCTGCACATAACATCGAAGGCGATCCAGATATCGCAGAACCACAGTCCGAAGATCCAGTAACCGAGGAGATCGTTGACTCCGGCAAAGGTCATCACCAGCCCACCGACGAAGAGGTCAGCAACGGCCAGGGAGGCTAGGAAGAGGTTGCCAATCCTCCGCAGCCCACGGTCGGTGTAGATCGCCACGCACACCAGAACGTTGCCAGCGACGGAGAAGAATATCAGGATCACGAGGAGGAACCCTGCGGATGTCGGCAGAGATTTGTTTAACGGAGAATCGCCAGGACACGCTGCTATTCGCCCCTCGAAGCGCGTGCCTTAAGAAATCCGCTCGCGTCGCCGATGAAATATGACTCGTCGCTATTCATCGGATCGAATCGAGTAAAAAATGATCGGAAGTCGTATGCGGCACGAACGTGTTATCAAATGATCCCGAATGTTGGATGCCGCATCGTAACAGATATATCTTCCGAGGAATTTTTAACATTAAAAATATTTCACCGTGCACGATCATCAATATTTTTTATATTCTTAGGAAAAAATCTCAATCATCATTATTTTACTTTGAAATAATCTCTGGTACATTTGATATCGATATGACTTGTACTAGATACTAGTACTTTGAGGTAGCCATAATTTATTGCAATATACTTACAATATGCTAATTTATATAATTTCCTGCAATTAGATTATGAATAAGAATGCTAATAGCAGATCAAATACAATTGAATTTAGCTGAGTAAAATTAACCAAAGGTCGATAAATCTGTTCTGTTATATGCGCATATCGCCTTTAAAGGATTAGGTTCAGCAAGTATATAAAGTTGCTTCGCAAACCTTTATTTTATCGATAAAGTAAGCGCGCGCACTCCGTATATGATAATAATTGATAGTAAAACCTCGGTTAGGAAAAATCATGTTATCCCTTAAAATTTCAAGAAAATCTCTCTACATTTTTTATAAAACATATTATCTAAACAGAATTACATTTTTAACGGAAAAGATAAGAGACTTTTATAAGATATTTCCCGAATATTTTAATCGCAAAATCTATTAAAATACGTTTCTCAAAAGTATGAGGTCAAGACTCTTCGATTGTGAAATCACAAATGAAAAAATTTTTATACAGCAAAAATTTTTAGCAATACTATACTACGACAGTATCGATATCTCGATGCATAAGGCACATCAATAATTACAAAGTTATTGAATAGAGTTTGACAGTTGGCGACGGACGTCGGTGGCACAGAAATTATGACACTCACCCTCTGGACCCACGTCCAATCATAATTTATTCGATTTTATCGGTTATATTAAGCGGCAAAAGGGGTCTCGGAAAGGTGGTAGAAAACGGTAAGGGTAGTAGAATGGTGTCGAGTGATGAGGGCTAAAGGGGGAAGGCAGAGACTACCGCGGTATGATTGGACGGTAGGTCGGATCGGAGGTCTTCCGAGAAAAGGCACTCTCAGGAGGCTGTCTTCGAGGGGCGACTCGCGATCGATCAAATGAAAAGTTTAGCGAACCAACTAGGAGCACCGACAGCAGCGAGAAAGCGTTTTCAGGCAGATCTTCTTCTTCCCCGTCTGTCAGATTACTCTGCGGAAAGACAAAGAAAGACTGCGCGTGAATGCGGGGCTTATCCGAAGTTACGATTTACACGAGACAGGAAAAGATGTTTGGACGGAATTAGCTTGGCTCTAATCGATCTCCATCGTATCAGACAAGACTACGTGACAATAGCGTGATACACTGCGACGATTGCCTCAAGACACATTTTACGGCGAGACTACGCAGACAGCACAAAAAGCACCGTAAAGACGTCTAAAGGGTGTAAGGGAGACAAGGGGACATCTAATCGTTGAGACTCCTCGACGTCTTTTAGACATCTTCTGGGTTTTCGGAAACACAGTACTTGGACACATCCATGCATACATATCTTATGGATTTACGGTAAAATCGTGATAAAAGAACGCAGTGTACGATCGCGCTAACGCGTTCTCCACACGGGAGGGTGGCTACAGATTTTTAATAATTTTCATCGCGTTGATCGCCAATGCATTATTGCGTCATTGCGGCTACAGCTATCGTCGCGTAAAAAGTTGCTTTAGTTCAGCTTTTTACAGCGGTATAAGCAGGTAGGCGCTAATTATTCGCGCCGAGCAAATAATTACGACCTGCTGATATTTTATCGCGGGATTTATCCGGCGACCGAGATCAGCCGTGACGTATTTCATTGATAAAGCTCAAGCATTACTCGCGACGATGATTGGAGGATGCGGCCGGTAAATATATTCGCGATGCGACGGACTGCTATTAATTTGAATTACACCTGTCTGCGTACGATGTGGGTGCGGTAATCGATATTTATACAGATTTTGCGGTTAAATCTGCATAATGCATAAGCCAAAAAACAAATAAATTGCAATCGCGTGTTCGCGATATTTCATCGTATGTTTCACGAACGGATGCGACATTCTCCCGAATCAATCATCCCGCGAGTTCGGCCTAATCATAATAATTTATGTAACGCGTCGCATTGAGATCTCGCGGTGAAGTAAAGTTTCGAAAGTAGAACGACGTTTATCGATTCATTACATATGCAATGCAGTATATACTGTACTTTATATTCTACACTAGCACGGTTTATATATTATATATTATATTAAGCTGCACACCAGTCATACTTATATTATAGCTCAAGGAGCACTCCGTTCGCGAAATTTTACACGTGGAACAATTATCGTCGATGCAAATTATGCGCCAGTACTTATGAATTTAAAGAGGCATAGCCGTGATAAACGACAGTGGACGTTTTCAAAAAATTCCAATTCAATCGAAATAGAATTTCCATTTCGACAAGTTGAAATTGATCTCTTTCGGTCCAATTTTCAACTTGATTTCCGACTAATTGCTTCGATTCGCGCCAACTCTTGTGACTTTTCGTAGATGCTTTATCTTAGATCTGACTCAAGGTGAGATTTTCTATTATTCAGTGTTAAATTGGCGTTCGATCCATATTACATAGACTATAAGTAATTCTTTCTATCACACATAGCTCGAAGATAAATTATTCTTTTTTTCCTTATAAAAAGTGTTGAGACAATTGGCATTTAAATCGGATCACACGTTGATATGATAAAATGATAAAAAATAAAAATGTTTTCATATGATCGCGATCGTATTCACAAGATTGCTTTTATATATTTTTCAAATGAATCAATATATACTGATTAGTTAAAAAGTGATAAGGAGTATTTTACAATATAAAAACGCTTTAAAATACAATGAAAAAGTAAAAGCGCTTCTATAAATCGTATGTCATTTCGCTTAACGCGAGTACTTTATTTATTGTTATAAAAAATATATTATATAAGTGTTTAAATGATATTTTGAAGACACAAATTTTTGCCTACATTTTATGTTTAGATAGAATTATATATAATTGTGTCTCACTTTTTGAAAAGATAAATATATCCCGAGAAAAATATTAAACAATCAGTTTCAATTTAAATAATCTATTCTGTGTGTATATCTAAGAAAATATAAATTATTTCCGTACAAACACACTTCATCCTTGAAATAAAGCGTGACAGATCACGTTCTCTGGATACAATATGGTCAGCTTAGTGAATGAAATATATACCCTTACAATATCTCACGCATTAAGCATTCTAATGGTGAGTGCTTCTTTTATCTATATACGTACCTTTTCGACATAATGTACAGTAAGCGCATGAATGAACTTGTAAGACAAAAACGCATTAACATTACAAAGGGACGCCCTTCCGAAAATACATAATGATTAATGCGAGACCTCTAATGATTAATATAATGATAATTCATCTTTATTATTGTGCGACTTATTAGCATTATATACTTACAATTTTCAATCGTGTTTTTATAATTTTACGATACATTTTTTTTTTTAAATCCATCAAAATTAGCAAACGACATGCGGTGATTTACGAAACAATTTAGAAACGCGCCGATAACTTTCTTTCGATTAACATCTCGTCAGTGGGTCGCATCGTTTTCTATCGTGCGAATAATTCCCCCGTCTGAAAGTTTGTAGATATAACGTGTGTGACATATATCCCGATCATCGTTTATTTCCTTTCTCCTGCGACTTTCATTCAGGAAGACCGGTTTGGGTCAACGATCGATTCGTTCTGGGAACGACGATTTGTAACCTGTATTTGGCAGTCGCTGTGATTCGACCTAAGAGTCAGCTCGAGGAAATAAACGAAACGAGAAACGTGGGATACTTGCGCTTTCTTCGGAAATGTTTTGCACGGACAGCTATTAATTAATTCACATCTGCGAAAATATATTTGCACGGTGAAAGCGTTTTGTCATTTATCACGTACGTTCCATTTTGCTGTTGAAATTAATACAATGAAATTATCGCACAAATATAAATATACACGATGAAATTATTACGATAGAATTCTTTCTACCGCTAAATATGTTCTCATTTAAAGTCTATATTTTCGTAAACTATTAATTACTTGTGAAAATTTAAAGAGAGAAGACCAAGTTTTTAATTTAATCTATAAAATAAGTTTCTCCTTTTTTTTTTCAATCTGATATGACGAAAAATTATTCTCTTAAACAGCCGCCAATTCTTGAGAGATTAAGAACTAAATTCTAGTAAATATTATTACATTCAATACTATTAATTATCGTATTTAATTCGATCGTTAAAGCGCACCACCCGTAACTTGTACGTAGCTAGATCGCCCATATTTCTACGCCTCGTGATATACGAGCTTATAGTTTCGAACTGTGCACAACAGTTTGCGAGTAAATCTGTTACAACACTTATCGCAGATGCGTATGTAAAGATAACAGATTGGCGATGCAGCGCCGGTTGTAGTTTAAAGCTCGAGCAAAGTTATCGCGGTCTGTATGCGCGCGATGAAAATAATAGAAAGAGAAGTGACGCGTGTGCGATTGGGATTTAATGAACGACAAAAACGGAACAAAAAAAAAGAAACATATCGAACGCGCGAAAAAAATGGAAACGTTCTCGACGCTCTCGTTTAGTTTTATGCGAAATTGCTTTTACGCCTCTTCAAACGTTGCTGTCATAGACAATCGATCCATGGCGCAAATTATGTTACAATCCTTTCTATTCATTTTGATATGCGCATCATTTCTCTCTCTCCCTTTAGTTTTCTCGTGTTCTCCGAATATAAATCTATTGATAGTTGTATAGTGGAAGGATACCGCCAATTTTCACCAATTCGCTTTCTTCTCATTAGGCAAACCCACTTATAGTAGGTTGTTCTATTATCTTTATCGCGCCAAGATTTATGAGTTTGCCCGATTTTGTGTGTTTCATGAATTTAACAGAAAATATTCAATATTGCGATTAAACATATGCCCGTTCTTATCTCATTATGTTTAAATAGCGCATTTTGCATCAAAGACTATATGATTCTTATATCAAAATTAAAATTAACTAGTATGTCATCTGATGTATTATTCGCGTGTTTTTGCTCGCTATATCTTGACGTCATAATCCAAAATGACAAAGTACATCTTGATCTTGAGAATTCTTAATGGCATGGAACTTTCAGTTGCGGGATTAAAATTATTTTCGGAATTGAAATGGATTATACTGATTGTTTGATTTATATATGTGTATACATATATATATATATATTTTTTTTTATATTTCGTTCTCCATCCGTTTTACATTACTTTGAGCGTTGCGTGACTTCGCGAGAATACTTGAAATTCTCAGTGTGCTCCTAAGGCAGTTCGTACTTTATCGCGCGCGACACGGCAGAAAATCCTCCGATGGATTTCATCGATTCTTTGAATATATCGCATCGCATGCATATGCAGGGGAAAATATTTTATTGCGTCAGCGGCAGAATGCCGATGCTGCCGACAATAAACGGCTGCTTAATCAGCATGTGCCGCCGATCGCCTTCGCAATCACCGTGTCGCAGAGCGCACGAATGGTCCCCAGTGTAAGTGTGACCCGAGGATGACGGTTCGCGGTTTTGACAATTTTCATTTCATCGACAAAGCGACAATGTTAGAAAAATTGCATTTTTCCATTAGCGGAATATTCGTGAACCGCGGCTGTGCTTTACCGTGCACGCCCAGTTTCTCAGTAATTGACGTCAATTTTCGCGAAATCTCTGGGATTAAAGTTAGACAATATTATGGCAGCGCGACGAATTGAACATTTTTTCTTCCAAATGCCACGAATCGATGTGTATAATTTTTATTAAAATGTATATTTAGCTATTTTACGTGTATTACGTATTCACTTATTAGTGGTTCGAGAGAAATTGCTTTTGAAAAAAATTTTTTCCTCATAATTGTCCGAAATAAATATCCTTAAAATTAGCGACAAAGACAAATCGGATGTAATTTACAAGACATTACCTTTCTTCTTCCGTAGTAGACGTGCCGATAACAATTATCGAAATTAGTTGCGATCTATCGTTTTGATGGATCAAAGGAAATGTACAACATGTGTGATTGCCATATAATCAACTAATACGCTTATTCCGTTGACATTGATCGAGAGAGAGAGAGAAGATAGCGTCACATGATCGTTACGCGCGTGATTACGG